TGTGGCTTGTTTGCACTGTTCATTTTTTTTGAGGGATGACGGATTTGCTCAATCATCCGTTGCTGTCACAGCTGGATTTAGATTGCAGGCACACCCCTTAAAGGCCCTCTGCTGTCAGGACCCTATAAGACTTCCTGGCATCTGGCAAAAATAGAGCAAAGGAGCGTTAACTTGTAATGAAACCCATATATTAAAAGGTTGGCTACTCTCTGACAGGTAGCAGCATGGGGTTTTTACAGCGTACTTTCTCACATATAAAACGATGGCTTTTTGTACAATCCTTTCCTCATACCCAGCGGGTCACAGCAGATGGCTGCCCCTATCTGAGCTGGAAGTTTCTTCCTGTTAAAAGGGATTTTTTTCCTTCCCACTGTCGCTAAGTGCTTGCTCACAGGGGGGTCGTTTAATTGTTGGGGTTTTCTCTTTATTATTGTAGAGTCTTTACCCTTGAATATGAAGCGCCTTGAGGCAACCGTTGTTATGATGTGGTGCTAAATAAAAAAACTGAATTGAATCGTCTTCAAATGTCCCCAAAATATCCATCATATATTGGACAGTCAATAAAGTGAAGTGGCTTAATCACAGCTTAAGTTTTTTTTTATTTTAATCCTATGGCTGTCCTTTAAAATGCCATTTTCATTACGAGCGTGTATGTGTGTGTACATGTGTGGCAGTGTCTCTGGCTCAGTCACTGCTGAAATGACTGGCAGCTGAGTGGAGCAGAAGGGCAGGAGGTCAGGGTAGGAGGTAGAGGGACCAGCATCAAAGGGGATGTAGTAAGTCAGGCTTAACAAACACTCCAGGTCTGAAAATGGCCAATATCTAGTGAGAGGAGGTCAACTCTGTGCCATATGACAGCATGGATAGACAGTGAGGAAGGCAGCTTCACTCACTTTTTATTTCTCCGTGTGAAATCTCACTTGCCCGTGCTCATGCATTACATTATCTTCGAGCAAAATCCCATTTGTCAACCCAAGTCCTGTGTGTATGCATGCATGCATGTGTGTGCGCGCGTGTGTGTCCGTATGCAAAGGAGATAATTGTTAAATTTTCCCTGCGGTTTGGACATGTGTCGAGTCCCAAAACGGTCTTCCCTGTGAATGAGAGAGAGAGAGAAAAATTGGTCGTGACAACCAGAAAGCCATATGTTATTTCACACAGCATGCTGGACAATTATTTATTTATTTATTTTCCTGTGCTGGCAACTAGCGAAGCACGCACCTAGATGTAGGCACACAAAAAGAAGTTGAGAAAAAAAAAGGGAACCACAGAGAAAGAATCACTTTAAGAAAAAAAAAATTCATTTATTTAAAAGACACAGAATGAAGGGAGCGAAGGTTGCTGTGCAGACGGCGGCGGTTGCTGCAGATTCTAATCCAAAGCCTCCGGCGATCTCTGCATGAACTCCATTTCTGGTCTGCAAACAAATTAGGTTTTTTTTTTCTTTTCTATCTTGCGTTCCCTCCAGTGAAAATAAGGGGGGAAATTCAGGTGAATAACATGCATTTGTTCATTTTCCTTTCTTTTTTTTTCCACCCCACCCCACAAACTCAATTTTTCCTCGGCGTGCACCGGCTGGAGTGTTTCTTTTCTTTGCCGCGATCTCGCCTGCTATTCATTAGGCAGCAGTCATTTAATTTGTATCATTAGAAAACCGTGTTTCCCAAGGACTATGGCACTGCTCTAAATCTGATCCAGACAAAGTGCTTTTTTTTTTTTTTAGCTCAAATGGACTTGTTAACACACACCTCTCACTAAACAAGTGTTTTGAAGAAATAGAATAAAACCAAACAAACAAACCAAAAAGAAAACAGGGTTTAATATCTTAACATCTCTTCAAGTGTTATTACACTTATAGAGAGCAGTTCTCCTTCTGGGCTCCGGTTTTAATTATGCAACAAATGTTTGACTATCCAAGTGAAATTTGCATGAATATTTATACCAATTCATTTGTTGAGTGTTGATTGTAATTACATGGAAACATGATTTATTGCCAAGATTGCTGTGTTAGCCAGCCAGCCATAGAAAGACAACCAGGCAGAAATATATAAATATATGTAAATTTGCCCACATACACACACCCGTTCAGCAAAAAAAAAAAGCTCTTTTTTCCCAGTGGCTTGTGGGAAATTTTCATTATCAGAAAGAGAATACGCCACACTGTGTGCCTGGCAGAACTTTCTTAAACTAAGTTTAAGAGTTTAAATGATGGAGAGGTCCACTTAAAAAAAAACATGACTGTTCACCTCAAAATCAGGTTTACAGCTTTTGACCGTGACCTGTAGTGCTGCGCTGTTTCGGTCTCAATTTGCAAGAAATTATCTGTAGACATGCTGGACATCTCTTGAATATAATAGAAGTGAATTGCACTCACTGTGTTGGAGCCCAAAACAGTAGATTTTACAAAAACTCAGCATAAGTGTTTCTTGTCATAGAATCATGGCCTGGTTACTTAAGAAAAAAAAGGAAAGAAAATCTGATAAATGAAGTGTAAGTAATTATATTTGATCTTAAGTGATGTGGTGACCAGAAACTTTTGGCAACTTAACTGACTTTGAGCCAAATAACCTTTGGTGACTGTTGGCGGATGGGACCCGAGATAGACTTTTCTCAACTTATATGCATGAGACTGAAGCGACTACCATGAGAAGATAGGATACCACTGACTGAGACATGAACTGGTAGTACATCCAAGAGTACGGTACCTAGATAACAGAAGCCTGGAATGTCCGAAATGGACTACGAGTTTGTTTCAAAGCAAATTGTTTCTAAGTGAAAGACAGTATAAAAAAATGGACGTAGTTACCGTGACATTGCTAGTTATTCTTTTGAAGTCTCCCTCAGATTCCTCAAGATGAGCTTTGTCAAACAATAGATGCGTCGAGAGATGGTGGGTCTGACTGTAAATCCACAGTCTGAGTCGCTAACGAGTTCTATTGAATAACTTACAAAATATACTTAATTTTTATTCTAATATCACCTAAAAATGAGTGACTGAGCCCATGAGCAGGAAAGAGTGTACAAAGGTCATTTTAGAAAGCCATTTTCCAATAGACCAGTAATCTTTTCCCACGTGTGAGACTAATAAAGGTTTATCTTATCTTATCGTTTATGTAACCACTGCTATCGTCCTCTGATGGCCTTTGCTATGTCCATGTTTCATGCCACGCTCCAGATACATCGGAATTCGGATGTCCGAACTCAGGAGCAATGTCACTTAACGTCTAGATGCACCAGTCAAAAGAACCAAGTAGCTGGCCAACATCACAGCCAAGCTCGTCCTCATATCACCAAGCTAGATGCTTTTTTGGGGGGTGGGATACAGTTGGTATTTTCGGCAAAATCAAGTGTGTTTTCTTTTCTTTTTTGGGTAATTTGGTCCTGACAATAGACATTTGTGCTGAGTATATTTTTTTTAAAGCATTTTTATCTATTTATTTATTTTTGTCTTTTGTGGACCGCAAGGCTATTGGCGTCTACTCAACAGAAGGGAAACATTTTTAGAGCTGATTTCTTCAAAACTAGGCAATTGGGATCAAAATGTTTGACTTTGCAGTGAGCTGTCCCTTTAAGCTGGCCTTTCAACACTTTGTTTTTGAGTTAATGGATCTCTGCCACGTGTAAATATCTGTTGACAGAAGGAGTTTGACGCGATGCTTTCACATCTGCGTCTGAGACTGAGCGACAGTGTTAGATGAGTTACGCATGATGTGCAAATTTCAAAGTGCAGGCAACCGTGGCTGATAATAGATTGTACTTCATCAGGTGACACGAATGGGGAACGAATGGAGGGAGAATGCTTTAAGAAGAGAACATTTTTGAGTAATGGGCCTCTGTCCCTGTGTAATATTCTTATGATGAAACAAGGAAACAAGGAGAGCAGAAGGAGGAGTATGTGTCTGTGTGTAGAGGTGTGTGCGTGGGACGTGGGGTAAAATCGGAAGAGATGGAGAACACGAGAAGGTGATGAGGTCCAGTGAGGTGCAAGAGAGAAGATGTGCTGCACCAGAGGCGAGCTCCGACAGTGTTTGCATGTAATTAATTAACGGCATTAGCCATTTGTAATGCCATTTATTCTGGTAATGACCAAGCCTGGTGTTTGGTTCTTCGCCCTGCGCTCATTCTTTCTTTCATTTCTCCTCTCTGCCATTTACCTTTGTACAACGCTAAGGCAGGGGATTAGGAGACACGGAGAGTGGAAAAAGAAAATCAGGCTGATACAGTGAGAAAGAGGCCTCGGCTTTAATGACATGCTCTGTTACTGCTTAACACAAGACACTGTTCAATAATGTGTTAGAGCGGGCTACGCATATTGACAGCGTGAACCCACAGCTCATCAAGAAAAGCCTTTTGTACGTGCGCACTTAGTCGCATGCTGTCAAGTGGGTGTGCCTATTTGTGTGCGCCCGTCTTTTGCCTTTTGCGCCTTCGCTCTCTGGCAGCGAATCAGACCTCCCGGAGAGCTGAAAGCTTGTTCACCTTGTCCTCGTTTTAGTGGGAAAGTAAACAAGTGAATGAGGCTGATGCACCACCATTCCCCCACTCCCACTCCCTCTTTCCATTTTAGCTGTATTTAACACACAAATCTAGCTAGCTACCATGTCTCCTTGGTCCCTTGAGTTCTAAGCGTGCTTGTGAAAGACTCCTTTGTGCAGCTTCTTCTGTGTCCTTTTGAAAGTTTTCAGGGTTAGAGAAAGGCAAAGTAGTTCTTTCTTGGCTACTCTGATAGAAGAGATCATAGTTTTATTTTTGAGGGTGGCATTAGAGCTAGTTTGGTTGCTAAGGTAGCTGTTAATACCCTTAGCCATGGCCTTCACTGAGTCTACGTATCCTAGCCTCCCTTGTTTTCCTAACCTATGTCCCTGCCATCCTGACTTGAATCCCTTCTATTTCCAAAGGATCCCGCTCCCAAGCTGACATCCAATAATAAAAGTTGAAAAAAAAAAAAAGTAAAGAAGTCCCTTTAATAGTGACCCTCGGCCGTTTGGTTTCTCTTGTAGCCGTTTCGCCGAGTGACCTTCTCGGTGGTGAGCCAGCCCCAGGATCCTCACCAGCAGGGATCGCTGCAGAGCTGCTACGACAGCGGCCTGGATGAGTCGGAGACACCGAGCAGCAAGAGTTCGTCGGGCCCCCGGCTGGGCGCCCTTCCCCTTCCCGAGGACAGCTACGAGAGGACAACGCCGGATGGCAGTGTCGGTGAGGCAGAGCACATGGAAAATGGTAGGGGCAAACACTGAAAGGAGATGTAGAAACCGTTAAGACACAGGAACAACACATGCACATAACTGGCTAGAGAAATCCAAGCGGGACGCTGTAGAAAGCATCACAAGCAAAGTGCAGAAACACACGAGCGTCCCTTTTTCTTTCTTTCCTTCTTTTTTTGTGCTAAAATGCTTCTGTTGTCAGTTCGACATTTCTCTGTGCCAAGGGTATGGATGTGGTGTGGCGCTTGTGATGCAACTATTTTTTGCTGAAGCCTAAAGCTCATTCAGTGTACATTGTATGAACAACGAGGTCCGGGATTTATTATAAAACCGAGGTCTCTGTTTCAGAAACAGAAGGCTTATTTGATCAAAGGGGCTACAAGAGGGAATATGTAGCAGACGAATTCTTTTAGATCAACCACCTTTCAGGGCCGTCTTTATCCTTCTAGTTTGTTGCTTTGTTGCACCGTTTTACAAATCCCGCTGAATTCCGTTTGTAGGCTAGATCTCAGCTGCAGGGGAGGATAGGTGTTCAGCAAGATCTCGCTCTCTAGCTCGCCTTGCATTCTTTGAGATAAAGTAAAAGAGGTGTAACGGGGAGGGGGCTAATACTCTGAATTGTTTAGAAGCTGTACAGGCAGCTGCTGCACTGATTTGTGATTTGTGTTTGGCCTCGAGGCCCTCACCAAGGAGTTCATTTTGCTTCAATTAAGGGATCGAACCGATGATCCGTGTGTTGTAATGCATAAAGACTCCAGCCTAGAGAGAGTGGACGGGAGCGGTGGCAGAGTGAAAAAAAAAATCCTTTGTAAAAGCTTCTTCTCTTGCAGAACCTTCTTCTCACAGCTAGCCTGAACTAGTTTCCTACCAAAGCCAAAATATATATGTGTGTGTGTGTGTGTGTGTGTGTGTGTGTGTGTGTGTGTGTGTGTGTGTGTGTGTGTGTGTATCTGGATGTGCAGTGAGAGATGAGGGTAATGGTCCCATTCATAGTCTAGGAGTCTGAGGCGATGCTTAACAAGGAGTAGCTGTCTTGAGAGTGCTAAGCCTAAGTGCAGAGGCTTCCCCACTGCAGCTTAGGATAAGGATATTCAAATGGCTTAAAGATTCACATCCTCTCTTTTTTACAATGGAGCTGTTAGGCGGATGATGCCCTTACCTTATTTTAAATCAGTGCGGTCAACACAAGCACCATTACATCCACAAGGTGGAGCCTGGACAAACACCTGGTTCTACCTCAAGGGCCGATGTCTAGTTATGGTGTTTGCACTGACTCGAGACAAGCAACAGAAAGTTAGTCAAATCAGACAGATGGGCACATCAAACAGGCCGTTATACCGGAGTGTCCACAGTGAGCTTTTTCAAATTTCGGCCCCGACACAGATTGAAGGGGATTTGAAACACTTTGATGTGAGCATGTGAGCTGATAAGGCTACCTCGTGGATATTAAAAATCTCAATTTTCCGACAACGAGTGCCCATTAAATTACCAAATAAGTCTTTAAATTAAAAGGATCGTTTCATTTTGGTTTCTGTTACAGGAAGGGGGGTGAGTCGATAGCGATCCGGTTAAGGAGCCTGTCGAGTAAAACCACTTTTAGAATAAATACGGCACAAATAGGGAAATGCATTAAACCAAAGATGGAGCGTTTGATACCCAAGGAGCTCTCATACTGGTCCAAATATGCCCACCAGTTTCACTTCTTAGCTCAATGTGCATGTTTTCGCTAATTCCTCAGCTTGGTGAAAAGCATACTGACGCTTCAGAGGAGATTTGCTGGAGAACAGAGTCAAGGTCAATTCATGAATCAGTCTCCATCTAAGAGAAACAACACTCTCCGCTGTTGCTGCTATCTTTAGTGAGATCGGCTGAACTGGTGTGTGTGCGTGTGTGAGAAAGGCAAGGCAACAGCACATGTGTGATTGGAAGAAAAGGGAGCGCTTGTGAACGCTGGCTTGATATTGTTTAAAAAATCAGCCTCTACATCTCACATTTCTTTTGCAGCACAGTTATACAAATTGGAGTTCTTACACAGTTTGTACTCCGAGGCTATGAGCTGATATAATCTGGTAGGCAGCGGGGTGGCCTTGTGGTCTGAGAGACTATAATTGGTCTAGGTCCTGTGATTCAGTCCCAGAGAGAGAGAGCGAGAGAGAGGGAGGAAAAAAAAAAAAGCATCTCTGTGCTTCCAGTTAAAGCGTCCTTGAGGACACCGCCGAGTCCCTGCTTGCTCACTTATGGCAGGTCGCTCTGAATGAGGGCATCAGCTAAATACCTAAGTGTAAAGTAAATGCAATCATCTAAGGTTAGGCTAAATATTGGCAAACTGCTTCAGCCTCTGCGGTCATTAGCATCCCTTCTCGTGTTGTGGCAGGAGCTCGCACAGAAAGCATCAGCACCGCATTTACTCAGTGTTAACCCCCACCACCCCACCCCCCAAACATGCCTTTTTTTTCCATTTTTTTTTTTAGAAAATGAGGGCATTACGAGGAAGAAGGAAAACAAAAGTCAGCAGATGGCTTGCTGTGGCACTTGTTGCCGACAAGGGCATCATTAGCGGCATGTAACTATGTAACTGCAGACATTTATGTGCGTAATGCAACGGCTATGTCCTATAGTAGGCCCAAATCTCAACCTTGCCCCTGGAAGCATTAGTATCTGTTTGACAACTTTAGAAACTGAGGATTTGAGAGTTGTTGTATTTTTTCCCCCCTTGTTATCGATCCATCATGTTTGATTGCCGTCTCTTTGTGTTAGGGTGAAATGCAGACAAAAGCGAGTGTCTGCTTTTTTCGATTCGGAGCATTTTCCAGCTCTCGGTTACTCGTTGTCGATCAATGTTCGCACGAACAATCGGCCTCCACCGCAGCTGCTCACATTCATGAATGCATGCATGCAAGTAGCCCCCACCACACACACACACACACACACACTCACATTGTGTGTTCACCCTGCCTCCTTTTCCCCGTCCTTCCTTTCTTTCCACCCTGCACAGATGTGCTGAGGGACCGTGTTTTCTTTTCCTCATCTCCTTCATCAAGGTCATGTTGCAAACTTTATTATTTTCTGTTGGGTTCCTTCTTTCCGTGGGGAGCGTTAAAAGAAAAACATTTAAAATAAAAAAAGCAAAACAAAAAACAATCAACCTCTCCATCCAAGACAGATTCTTCCCACACTGACTCAGAACAGGGAGTTCATCGTGGGAATATGAACACATTGTTGACCTCAAACACACACTGCTTGATCAGCCTGAGAGACATCCAAAAAGTCTGTGCCAGGAAGCGATAGGAAGTTTTGCTGCACCTCTCCCAACGCCGCTGAACAAAACTGAAATTTCATACTTGCGAGTTACCTGCTCAGGACGCAAAATAATTCAATTTTGCTGCCATTATACTTGGGCCTCCGTATCGCTCAGAGACGCCACTCGGTACGTCTCAATGAAGTCTTGGTCTTTTTTTGATGCTCAGTTGGACCCCCACTCCTCCTCGCACCCTCGCATCCTCACTTATTCATAAGCTTACCCCGGCGCTCATCAGATATTCATAAACATTTGGAGTCAAACAGCCGATTAGGCCGTTATGGATGTCGAACAGCCCTTCCAGATGTACGCCGTTATCGGCAGGTCAAAGACTCGTGCTCTATTATTGATCGCCGCATCGCCAGGGGGGCAGAGGATTTTTCAATTTTTAGTTCAAGTGCACTTCAAAATAACATGCTTCCACATTGCTCTTTCATGATGAGTTACGTGTCTGAGGTGTGCAAAGTGTTTTTTTTTTTCTTTTTTTGTAAAGGCTCTGCATGAATCTGAGCAGCTCCCGGCACTGAAGATGTAATAACATTTTTCAGTAGATCAGTGCAGCTATGCAGTGTGATGTGCTTGTTGCTGTAGGTCACGCTGCCAAGGATGTATCGCATTTGATCCACAACATCACATTATATACATATATTTTTTCTTTACAAAATTGCTAATATATATCTATAACCTCTTACTTTTAAGGTTCACCTTTTGCATTCAAACCATGTTATGTACACTGAGCTGGCAGTGGCTATGCTGGGGTTAGCAAGGCCTGCTGATACTACTGTATGTGGACATAGCACCAAATCACAACAGCAGTCGCCTCAAAGTGCTTCATGTTGCACGGTAAAGAACCTACAGTAATATAAAGAAACCCCAACAATTCGAAGACCCTCTATGAGCAAGCATTTGGCAACAGTGGGGAGAAAAAACTCTCTTTTAAGAGGAAGAAACCTTTCCCAGAGAGGTGCAGCTATCTGACCTGACCATTTGGGAACGTTGAGAATGTAGAGGACAGGACAGTGTTAATAGACTTTGTATTTTCTGCCTGAATTTTGTTTTCAAGAAATATACAATGCTTGTGTGATATGCGCAGTATAACTAACGTATAACCTGACTTGTACCTGCAGGAGATCGTTGACTCAACTTTTTATTCACCTCTGCATCACAGTGCAGATCTCACAGAGGCTGACGCCTGTGCTGAACGCAGAGGCAGAGGAGCACCGCAAATTTATTGTAGCCTCTAAGAGAGTGATAGCACGTCCTACTGGCTGCTAATGTTAGCATGCCTCCCACGTTTTCTTTTCTGCATTGGCTGGCAGACAATCACCCACAGCACACACACACAGACACACACACAGACCAAGCACTACCTTTCTCCTGTCTGTCCTGCTGAGAAATCTCGGGGTACCACCGCTGGATTACAAACATCATCATTTAGCATTGGCTAGTCGGTTCAATAGAGTAGGACAGACAAGTGGCGCATCACAGCGGTTATCAATCAGGTAGTCAGCGAGAACAAACACCATCTGAGCCTTTGCTAACAAAATCACCAAGTACAAAGCAAACGCCGGACAGAGAGACGCTCAAATGCCCACTTTTAGACAAAAATCATCTCTTTGTCGTCTTACACACACACACAGACGCGTGCGCGCACGCACATCCACCCTTCATTCGGCGCAATGAGCCACTGAGTCATTTTCCAGCTCTGTGAAGCACCT